GGATTGCCCAGTAGTAGATTGAGGAGTGATTCTGTAAGAGAAAAGGAATCGAGCAATTCTTTCATGTAGTGGTCCTTCCATCTTCTTAATAGCATTCTTAAATGTCTGCACTGCTCTTTCTGCTAGACCGTTAGACCTCGGATGGTAAGGAGCTGTTAGTGAATGGCGAATACCATTTAGAGACATGAATTTCTTAAATTCTTGACTAGTAAATGAAGGTCCATTATCAGAGACCAACTGATGAGGAAGACCATGAGTAGAGAATATGTGACGAAGGACTTTGATAGTCGCTTCAGAGGAAGTAGAAGGTACAATGCATACTTCTAACCAGCGAGAGTGAGCATCTACCAGAATGAGGAAGTAGTGTCCCAGGAAAGGACCAGCATGGTCTATATGAAGTCGTGTCCATGGAGTCTTTGGAACTTCCCATGGGTGTACAGGAGTTTGAGGAGGGAGAGCACTGTTTTCTTGGCATGCCTTACATTTCTTTACTAGATCTTCAATTGCCTTGTCTAATCCAGGCCACCAGAAATAGCAGCGGGCTAGACTCTTCATTTTCGACATTCCCTGATGTGCTTCATGTAATTGAAGAAGAATAGCTGACTGACCCTGGGGTGGAACAATCACTCTTGAGCCTCGAAGGAGACATCCATTAGCTACACTGAGTTCTACGAAACAGTACGAATAAGGTTTCAGTTGTGGAGCATCATCAGGTACCTCCCCTCCAGTGAGTACTATCTGACGTAACCTTGATAAATTTGGATCCTTATCTGTCCACATCTTAATATCATCAGCTGAAACTATAGCTTCTGAAATATGTTCAAACATTAGCACTACATCTTGTGGTACAGGGACAGAAGAAGGGAAGTTAGGAAGTGGTAGTCTGCTCAATGCATCTGCATGTGGAATTAATTTACCTGGTTTGTACTGGATAACATAGTTATATGCTGATAGTGCAATTGCCCAACGTTGGATACGAGATGAGGCAAGTAGAGGAATCTGTTTAGACTCACTCAGGAGAAACTGTAGTGGTTTATGGTCAGAATGAAGGACAAATTTTCTACCATAAATGTAATCATGAAATTTGCGAACAGCAAAGATAATTGCTAGAGCTTCCTTCTCCAACTGAGAGTACTTCTTTTCAGCTGCTGAGAGAGTACGGGAAGCATATGCAACTGGCAGGTCAGTCCCATCAGACATCCTGTGGCTGAGGACTGCTCCTAGTCCGTAAGGTGAAGCATCACAAGCTACCACGAGTGGCTTCTTCTCATCATAGTGCGTTAAGACAGAGGAGGAATGAAGCATGGCTTTAGCCTTTTGAAATGCTTTCTCTTGGTCCTGAGACCATTTCCAGGGAGTATCTTTTCGAAGGAGTAGATGAAGAGGAGATAATACAGTGGCTACATCTGGTAGAAATTTGTGGTAATAGTTCAATAGTCCTAAGAAGGATTTCAGTTCCGTGACGTTAGTAGGAGTAGGCGCTTCTCGAATAGCCTTCACTTTGGCTTCTGAAGGATGTAGACCATCTGAATCAATGATGTGTCCCAAGTACTCAACTGATGGAACACCAAATTTACACTTGGACTGCTTTAAAGTGAGTCCTGCCTCCTC